CTTGCCCCACCGTTCGCAGCAGGCGCGCCCTGCACGCCCGCCTGCGCCCCCGCCGCGCCGAGCGCCGCGCGCGCCGCGGCGTCGACCGCGGCCCTCGCGCTTCGAGGCAGCGCCGGCAGCGCCGCCCGCTCAACAGCCGCGAGCAGCGTGGACACCATACAGCCGCCGCTGCCGCCTGCAACCACGTCACTCTCCACACTGCACTCGACCTCCCGCAGCAGCCGCACCGCCAACGCAAAGTCGCAGCCGCAGCCACCCGTGCCACTGGCTAGGCTCGCATCGGCGGCCGCCGCCCGCGGCTGCGCACTCGCCGCCCTCAGGACCGCCACCAGTCCCCTGGCAGCTTCCCCGCAGCTGCGGGCCCCCGGCAGGCTGCGCATCCAGGACTCCGCGGCCCCCTGCATGTCCAAAGGGCTCAGCACAAAGCCGCGCGCACACTGCAGCACAACGTCCCGCACCGCCTCCGCCGGGAGCGGCGTCGCGATTGCGTCGCCCCCAAAGGTTTTGCTGGCGCCGCTAATACAGTGCGCGTCGCTGCTGGTACTGCCGACGTTCGATTGCTGATGAGGGGCTGCGGGCAGCTCGATCAAGACTGCAAACGGGGCCGAGAGCCCGCTGCACACGTCTTGCTGCTGCTGCTGCTGCTGCTGCTGCTGCTGCTGCTGCTGCTGCTGCTGCTGCTGCTGCTGCTGCTGCTGCTGCTGCTGCTGCTGCCGCTCCCACATTCCTTGCAACGCCCGCAGCGCCTCTTCCCCTGGCATGCGCTCCAGGCCCGACAAGCAGCCCCACGCCCCGCCCTCAGCGACAGCCTGCACCCACGAGCCCACTTCGACGGCACTGGTGCCTGGGCCGGCCTCCAGCCAGCAGAAGCGGCGCCCAAGCGCCTGCGCCGCAGCAGCAGCTGCGGCCGGCGCCGGCACTGCGATGGCGCCGTCCGCCGGCGCCCCGCCATCGTCGCCGCTGGCGGCGGTGTCGGGCGCGGCCGCCCAGGCGTGCGGGTCGAGGGCTACGAAGGGCGACGTCTGCAGCGCGGCGCAGGCGGCAAGCAGCCGGCCGTCCAAAGGCAGGAGGTGGCCCGCGGCCAGCGCAGAGGGAGGCTGGTAGTCAAAGCCGTAGGCTGCCTGGCACTGGCCAAAGCGCACCTGGGTCGCATGGTGGACGGCAGGGGTGGGCAGAGGTGGGCAGTCTGTGGGCGGCAGTCCGTGGTGGCCTCAGGAGGAGGGGGGCCTGTTGCGTACTCTCAAGGAGTCCCACCATCATGCATGTGATGCCGAGACGGTCTCCTAATAACAAAACAGTCAAACACAGTCAAACAGAGTCAAACAAAGTCAACATGAATACGTCCTGACTCAAGCCCTGCCCTCCGCACCATCATGGCCTGTTGCTCGGGGTCCCAGTAGTGGCGCAGCTGCTGCCACCACCCCCACCCACCACGCCCTTGCCCCAGCCCGCAGCGCCGCAGCGCCGCCACCGCGTGCTTCTGCAGCGCCGCCGCGCGCACGAGCGCGGACAGGAGGCGGACGCGCGCCTCTGAGGGCGGCGCACAGCTGCGAGCGCCACTGCATGAGTTGCTGGTCCCTGGCTTGCTTGGGGACTGCCCTTCGCAAGGCTCCTCCCCCACCCCAGCGCTACTGCTCCTGCCTGGAAGCTGCCTGCCACAGGCCGGCGCCTGCTGCGGCGGCGACGACGGCGCCTGCCAGGCGCCGGGCCGCCCGCCATCGCCGCCGCCGGCCCCGCTCCGGCTGGAGCGAGGGCCCTGCGCCGCCCCGGGATCGCTCCCGCCGCCCGAGCCCGCGCCGGCGCCGGTGCAGCAGCAGCGCCGCAGCGCGTGCGCGCGCGACTCCAGCCGCAGAGCCAGGCGCTCCTGCAGCACAGCGAGCGCTGGGCGGCGGCCGCCGGACGCAGTGGGGCGTGGTAGCGCGGCCGTGTGTTCGTGGTCTGCGCCAAGCGCGGCCTCGACCGTGGCAGTCCAGGCCGCGCAGTCCGCCAGGAGGACGGACTGCAGGGGCAGGTCATCCATCGCTGCGAGGGGGTCGGCCTGGAAATTTGTCGTTGGTTTGTGGCAGTGAGCAGGTGAGAATGGTGAGTGAGTGAGCGGGAGGGCAACTGAGAATGGAAGGGGTGATTGGCGGGGCTGCTTGCGTGCTAGGGAGCGCGATGATGGTGGCTGGTCGGAGGCTGCACACGCATGTTCACAGCCGTCTGACCCCTACGCCGCGAGGGATGTTTTGCACCAAGACTCGCCCCCGTGCTGCCCTCATACTGGATGGGGTCTGTGCAGGGCACCTGAGATCTTCCTGGACTTCCTGGACTTCCTGCTGAGCTGGCAACCACCCAACCCAGAAACCAGGCCACCCAGCCGGCCCCTGGAACTGCGCCCTCGACCACCAACCCGCCCTCCTCAGCAGCGGGCCCTCTCACCTCTGCCGACGCCGCCAGCCGCGCCACCGCCTCCGCCGTCGCAGCCCTCACCCTGCCGGCCGCCTGCTCCACCACCTGCTGCAGAGCCGCCGCCAGCGACGCGCCGCCTCCGCCGCTGCCCTCAGGCTCGCCCTCGCCGGCGGCAGCGGCGGCAGCGCTGACATCACACTGACTCAGCAGCACCGGCTGCAGGAGAGAGAGCTCCTCGCCGCAGCAGGAGCGAAGGGCGCCCACCCAGCCTCGGCCGCGCCGCTGACATATGCCTTCCTGTCCGCCCCCACCTGCAACCCAGCCCCCGCTGCTGCTCGCGCCGTCGTCGCTGCCGCTGTTGCTGCCGCTCCCGCTGCTGCTGTCACTGTCATCCTCACCTGCCCCGCCCCACGGCGCTAGGGCACCAGTCAAGCTGCCATACTCAGACCTGCCGCACCCGCCGCCCCCGCTCCCAGCCGGCTCGCTGCCCGCCGGCGCGGCCGCGACTGTACAGCTGCCGTCCAAGCCGCACCTGCGCCGCGCCGCCGCCTCCGGCCCGAGCGCCGCCGCCCTTGCCGCGGCCGCTGCGCGCCGCGCTGCGCGGCGGCCGCGCAGCTGCGCAGCAGTTGCAGGGAGCAGGGCGTCCACACCTGGCAGCAGGGCCGACAAAATGCTTGGCGGCAGAGCCAAGGGGTCTCCGCAGGGCGGCGCCAGAGCGAGGAGGAAATCAGCGGCGGGGCCCAGGCCCAGGCGGGGGCAGACCCTGGCCGCAGCCGCGGCGGCGGCGGCGGCCAACGCGGAGCGCGCCTGGTGGGCCAGAGGGCGGGCGTGCGGGGGTGCGAGCGGTTGAGGCTTGATCTTATGGGTGATTGGAGGGGAGGGAACGAAGAGCACGTTGGGTGAAGGTTTAATGAAAATAATGGGTATGGTGGCAAAGACCTGATCCTCTTCGGCTTCCTGGCACAAAAAACTCGTATGAAGAAAACACCGGCAAAGGTGCAGTGCGCCGTTCGCAGTTTTGACCCCTCAAAGCCAGCGCCGTCGCTGGGGCAAGGGACTGCCCGCCATCCACCCACCTCCTCCACCAGCAGCAAAGCCGCCCGCGCCGCCGCACCGAGCTTCCCCGCCCACTCAGACAGCACCACAGCAGCCGCCAGCCCTCCGCCGCCCTCGCCCGCCGCGCCGCCGCCGCCGGAGCCGCTCCGCCGCGCGGGGCGCTCCGAGGCGGCACGCAGCACCGCCTGGCTCCACCCATCCACCGCGGCCTTGAACCGCGCGACATGCGCGCGCACCGCAGCTGGCGGCAGGCCGTGCCGGCCTGGCGGCAGCTGCAGCACCGCATGGGTCTGCAGAACGGCTTCCTGGCAGCTGTGGCAGTCCTGGGATCATGCGATGTTGTGGGGTTCGGGTCGGCTGAGTTCAGGGGTATTTGGCCTTGTTGCAGGCGGCGGCTGTGTTGTGGCTGCCCCGTGGCGCTGCAGGGGCAGCTAGCACGGCAGCCAAGTCTGCGATTTAGCAGCATAGGAGCAAAGGCCAAAAACCCTGCAAGTGTGAGTGCAGGTTGCCCCACACGGCTTCGTTGAACACGACATCATCAGGCCCAAAAGACCCACGCATGCACACCCAGGCGCAGCAAGAGCGCGTGCACCACTCACCCGAACGCACCCCGCGAGCCGCGCCCTCAGCGCCCCGACCCCCGCCAGCCTCGCCGCCACCCCCGGCGCCCCAAACGCGCCGGCCGCGCGTCGCAGCGCGCCCGCCGCGGCGCCCTCCAGCTCGCCAGACAGCTGCCCCAAGTTGAGCAGCAGCAGGCATCCGGCCATACGACCGCGGCTCAGCCGTAGGCGCAGCAAACGCAGCGCCGCCTCGATGCCCCCGAGCTCTGTGTTAAGCTCCGCCTCTGCCGCCGCGATCCGCAGGACAGACGCCAGCACCCCCATGGCCCTCGGGCCGCGGCTGCAGGCGGTCGCCAGGTCAGCGGCGCTGAGGAAGCTTCCCCCAGACGCCTCGAGCCGCGCGGCCCCTCCCAGTGATGTGCTGTTGCTGCCATCCACCTGCCGCCCCTCGCACTCCTGCAGCGCGTCGCCGCTCCCGCCGCCGCCTTTGGGCGGCAGCGCCGGCGGCCCAACGCCTTCCGAGCCGTTGGCATCGCCCGCGCCCCGAGGCAGGAGGGCGTAGCTGCCCAGCAGCTGCTCCAGCGACAGGCCGCACTCTTCGTCGAGCGCGTCGCCCCAGCGGGTGGCAGTGGCGTTACAACCATCGCCCGAGCCGCTGGCGTCCCCCCCGCCAGCCGTGTCGGTGGCGACCCCTAGTTTCCCGCCACCGCTCGTCAGGCCGCTGGCTGACGCTGTGCCCTGCGGCAGCAGCAGCGCGCAGAGCATGGCGGCATGCCTAGGCCGCAGCGCCGCGGCGCCGTGGCCCTCACAGAGCAAGCGTGCAGCCGGCAGGCGCCCGGCCCAGCCGCGGCGCTCGAGCTCGGTGGCGGCGGCGAAGGCGGCCTCCTCAGGGGTGGCGGAGGCGGCGCTTGTGGGGTCGTCGCTCACATGCTTGGCCTGCAAGGCATGTGTGTGTGTGCGTGAGTGTGTGTGTGTGTGCGTGTGTGTGTGTGTGTGTGTGTGTGTGTGTGTCATTGACCGGTCAACCACAACGGGCATCACCATTGGGTGATCAATCGCGACGCACTCACCCCCCAGGCCTTGGTAACCGCTGCCAGCTCAGCATCCGCCTCTCCGAGCCCCCTCAGCGCCGCCGCGCAAGCCGCCGTGTCCCCCGCCCCCGCCCCCGCCAGCCGCGCCACAGCGTCCCTCCACCCCGCCGCCGCGGCCCGCGCGGCGCGCGGGGCGGCCAGCAGCGCCGGCGCCGCCGACAGCAGGTCGCGCAGCGACTGGGCGCGGCGCCGCACGGCGGCGTCCCGCAGCAGCGCAGCGGCGCCCAGCAGGCGCTCGCAAGCGGACGCCCCCCGCGCCACGTCGCGCTCGATTGCATCGAGCAATGCAGCTGCCTCTGCGGGCTCGCAGGCGGGGCTCGCTGCCGGGCCGCGGCGCGCCGTCGTCAGCAGCGCGACAATCCGCCCCTCCGCCTGTCCGCAGGTGCAAGGAGTGGGGAAGGCGGGTCGTGCCGCGGCGTCAGGGATGAGGTGTCGATTTGAATGCCGAGGGTGCAGCGCGTGGTGTTTGCTGCGAGGGCGTTATGCTTGGTGGCGCAGAAGAGAGGTCGGTTGACTCATCACTCAAAGAGCACACTTTTGCGCGCGCGCAGCACCAGGCAGTGACAAGCAAAGTACCCGTTGAAAAAAACGGGATTGCTGGCAGAAGCCGCTGCAGGGAGAATTTTGGCAGCAATCTTCCGCCCACCCACCTCTTCGAGCTGCCCCGCCACCGCCGGCGCGTGCGCGCGCGCCGCGGCCGCCGCGTGCCGCTCTGCTGCGCCGCACGCGTCCTTGTACCCGGCCAGCGCGTCCCTTACGCCCTCCAGCGCGCGCCCCGCGGCGCGCACGTCCGTGGCAGACGGCCGCGGCGCGGCGCCCGTCGCCAGCTCCCCCTGCGAAGCCACGGCCGAGCCGCCGCTGCCGCCGGGGCCCGCGCCAGGGGCGGCGTGGTAGTGCGTCCTGAGCATCTCGTCTGCCCGCCGCAGCGCGTCGCACTCCGCCGACAGCCGCTGCCCCGCGGCGCCGTCGCGCCGCAGGTGCGGCTCGTGGGCGGCCAGCCAGTCGGCAAAGCCGGCGGCGGTGTCGGGGCGCTGGCGCAGCGAGGCGGACAGCGACTGCAGCTCGGCGCGCGCCGCGGCGCAGAGGCGGAGGCAGCAAGGCAGCAGCAGGCCCGAGAGGCCGCTGCGAAGGGAATGGGGGAGGGAAGCGCGGGAGCGGCGGCGCTGGGCAACACTTGGCTCGTGGGGAAGTGCGCTTTGTGTCGAAGAGCAGGGTTTCAAATTAGCATGTGGGCCCTAATCATCCGCAGACTTGCCACACGTGCCGCAAAAAAGGGATGGGATGACGCCATTGACGCAAGATTGGGAAGCCCAGCCATGCTTCAATCCCCGTTCCCGTTCTTGGAGCGCACCTCGCAAGCGCGGCCGCCGCTGGCAGCAGCCGCGCCGCCGCATCGGCCGCGTCGAACGCCAGCGGCCCGACAGCCACCAGCGACGGCACCGCCTGCAGGCCCGCCAGCCACGCGCGCGCCGCCGCGGCGTCGTTCACCAGATCGGCCGCCCCCTTGAGAGCCGCCACGTACGCGTCCCGCTCAAACGCCGCCGCGAGTGCCCTGACGCTCGCGCCGCACGCGAGGGGCTGCAGCGTGTCGCCGGCGGCGGCGGCGCAGCAGCTGGCGCGCACCAGCGCCTGAAGGCGGTCCTGCGATGGGTTTGGTCCCGTGGGACGTGAGGCTAGAATGCAAAATTGAGGGGGTTGTTGAGGTTCCGGGCCAAAAGGAGAGTGCGGTTGGCATGGGGAGGGGCCTCAGCTGGCGCACAGAGTTGCTTCAGTGGCGGGCGAATGCGAGGCTCAAAGGTCCAGGTGTGACGTCATGCTGATGTGTCGGCCCAATGATGTTTGACCGCCGGTCAAGCCTGACCAGAGTGCGCGGGGGCCGGATGCTGTCGTACGACCACTCGCCCGCTCCAGCCATCAGCATCTTTGGCCAGCCGTTCACCGGCCCAAATGCCACCAGGCACCTGCCACTCTGCCGCCCTGCTGGAACGCAGCACAGCCTCCGCCCGGCCCGCCCTCATCCTTGCACTTGCCGCCCTGCTGCTGCCCGCGCCCAGCCGCCTCGCGCCGCCGCCGCC